GAAAAGGAAAAAGAAGGAGGAGAGAGATGGAGAGAGAGAGGGGGGGAGGGAATGAAAAGGAAAGAGGAAGAGTGAGAAGATTAATAGAAGGAGCATAAAGAAAGAGAGGAAATAGCAGAAAGTGCGAAGAGAAAACAGAGAAAGAAAAGAAGAAAAAAATTATAACAATAAAAATAATAAAATATAAATTTTAAAAAAGAGGAAGAGAAAGTAAAACAAGACATAAGAAAGTCATAAAAAAACGTAATAAAAAGAAAGGTTTACAGACTGCAAGGAATAACAAAAGCATAAAAGAAATGAAAGAAATGAATACAAAGAAATCGACCCAAGAAGAATATTGACGGAAGGATCAGCTGCTTCTCTCTTGTCTTGGAAGACGCTGTCAAAAGGTTCACTTCCTGTGTGTGTGTGTGTGTGTGTGTGTGTGTGTGTGTATGCGTGTGTGTGTGTGTGTGTGGTGTGTGTGTGTGTGCCGGTGTGCTGTGTGTGTGTGTGTGTGTGTGTGTTGTGTGTGTGTGCTGTGTGTGTGTGTGTGTGTGTGTGTGTGTGTGTGTGTGTGTGTGTGTGTGTGTGGTGTGTGTGTGTGTGTGTGTGTGTGTGTGTGTCTTATCTTATCTTTATTACCGTTATCACTATCACTCTCGGCCGCAGCATTATCACAGTCATTGCTATTTTCCTTCTACTTCCATTGGCATCGCATTCCCTTCACCATCACAGCGCTGACGTAAACAAAATCATGATGATAATGATTATAATTTCAGATTCTCGTGGCTCCTATATGGCTGTCCTAATATAATTGTGAAGTCGATTAAAATTCCTTTTAATCATCAGCCTGTTCCTTCTATGAAATATTACCTTGGCACTTATGCCATTTTTAGAACTTTGACCATACATGTGGACTTTGATTAATTACTCAGAAACATTTTTTTTTTCAGATAATCTAACGCTGTAAAACAAATTTCTAACTTTTTTTTTCTTTGTGTGATGAATAGATTATAAGTTCTTCAAGTATGGCGTGAGCGGACGAGAATCGACCTTGTGAAGCCTATACATAAGTCCTATAGTTGCGTGAGTTCTCCTTTCCCGCCATGTTTATAGTGAACTGTGATAATAAAATGTTTTATTTGCCATTCTTCGGAGACTGTTCCGTCGACGAGGAAACATATAAATCTAGAATAACAGTTTTATAGATAATATTTCAATCTTAATGCGAACATAATTCAGCAAATAGATGAATAAAAAGATATGATTTTTATGGGTGCGAATAAGGGAAACCACAGTGCGAATACTCTTCCGTGGATTATCGGTGAATATAACCCTTTATTCTACTGGCAATAGCTCAGCGCTGGATTGGTTTGAAGTCAGTAATTTCGAATCAACAGCAGAGTTCATCCATTTATGAGAATTAGCGAGAGAGCAAGGGAATTAACGTCACTGCGTTAACTGGGGAATAAACATCTGTTTCGACACTCGGTGAAAATAGCGCGCGGCCTTGGCGACGTAAACAAACTTTGACTTCCATCATTTCCTGATCTTTCATCTTGTCCTTTTTATTATTTTCTCACTTCCTCTTCTCTCTCTCTCTCTCTCTCTGTCTCTCTCTCTCTCTCTCTCTCTCTCTCTCTCTCTCTCTCTCTCTCTCTCTCTCTCTCTCTCTCTCTCTCTCTCTCTCTCTCTCTCTCTCTCTCTCTCTCTCTCCTCTCTCTCTCTCTCTCTCTCCTCTCTCTCTGCTCTCTTCTCTCTTCTCTCTCTCTCTCATCTCTCTCTCTCTCTCTTCTCTCTCTCTCTCTCTCTCTCTCTCTCTCTCTCTCTCTCTCTCTCTCTCTCTCTCTCTCTCTCTCTCTCTCTCTCTCTCTCTCTCTCTCTTCTTCTCTCTCCTCTCTTTCGCTCTCTCTCTCTCTCTGGGAACGAAGCCTCCCTCCTCTTCTCTCTCCTCTCTTCTTCCTCCTCTCTCTGCTCTCTCTTCTCCTCTTCTCCGCTCTCTCTCTTCTTCCCTCCTCTCCCCTCTCGCCCTCTCTCTCTCCTCTCTCTCTCTCCTTCCTCTCCCTCCTCTCTCTCTCTTCGCTCTCTTCTCCTCTCCCTCCCTCCTTCTCTCTCCTCCCGCTCTCCTTCCCCTCATCTCCTCTCTCTCTCTCTCTCTCTCTCTCTCCTCTCCTCTCTCTTCTCTCTCTCTCTCTCTCTTTTATTCGACTTGAATGAGAGAAGGTAATGTCAGAGAAAGAACGGGAGGAAGAGAGCAGAAAAATAAATTTACGAAGATCGTGAAAAGGAGAAAAGGAGTAATATCAGAGAAAGACCGACATGAAGAGAGCAGAAAAAGAAATCATTTTACGAAGATCATGAAAAGGGGAAAGTAAAGGATAATAAAGAACTCTAATAAAGAATGCAATGCAGTAATAATGATATCGATGATGATTATGATGATATTAGGAATGATTGTGAATGCAACTGTAGTATTGTATTTTGTAATTTGATAATATTAATGATAATAACAAAAGTAATGGAGCTGATGATGATAATAATGAATAATTTTACTATTATTATTGCTTACATATTATTATTTCTATATGCTATATCATTACTATTATCATTATTATTGCTATTATCATTCTTATTGCTATTGTTATTATTATTGTCATCATTATCATTATTTTCATTATTTTTTTCTTTTTACGTTTATCTGATATTATTTTTATTATTATCATTATTACCATTAGCATTATGGTAATAATTATGATATGATTATATTAAAAATGATAATAGCTAATGATGATAATGAGAACTCACAATAATAATAATGATGATAATAAAAACATGAATATGAAATAATATATTATTGTTAGTATCATTATTATCTATTCTTGTTATTGTTAATACTATAACTATTACTGATATATATTATTATTATTATTATTATTATTATTATATTATTATTATTATTATCATCATTATTATCATTGCTGTTGTTATTATCATTGCTTTTATTATTATTATCATAATTATTATAATTATCATTACTGTTACCAATATCATTATCATCCTCTTCTTAACCCATACTCCTTCCTGCTTTCTCCCTTTCCTCTCCCTTCCCCAACCCCTCCCTCCTCCTTTCCACCCTCTCCCTACCCTTCCCCTCTTCCTCCCTCCCCCTCCCTCCCCTTCCTCTCCTTTTCCTCTCCCTACCCCAACCCTCCCTCCTCCCTCCCCCCTCCTCCTCTTCCCCCTCCCCTCCCTCTTTTTCCTCTCCCTTCCCACCCCTTCCCTCCCCTTCCCCTTTCCCCCTCCCTCCCTCCTTTCCCAACCCCTTCCTACACTTTCTCCTCTCCCCTTTCCTTCCTTCCTTTCATCTCCCTTTCCCCTTTCACCCCTCCTCCTCCCTTTTCCCTCCTTCCTTCAACCCTCCTCCAACCCCCTCCACCCCTTCCTCCACCACCAACCCCCTCTACCACGCCTTCCTACACCCTCCCACACCCCCCCACACCCCCAACCCCCCCGGAAAGAACCCCGCTCCTACCCTCACCCCTAACCCCCCCTCCAACCCCTCACCACCCCTTCCACAACCCCTCTCCACCCCCCTCCTACCCCCTCCACCCCCTCCCACACCCACCCCCTTCACCCCCTCCCCTTCACTACCCCTTCACCCCTCTCCAACCCCCCCTTCACCCCCTCCAAACCCCCCACCCCACCCCCCCACCCCACCCCTCCACCCGCGACGCAGAAGCAACCCCCTTCGCTCAGCAACTTTTCAGACAACTTGCAACAGCGAAGACGCATGATTCTGGGCGGCCCCGGTTATGGCGTGTCTGGGGCCGCTTCGCCTCCGAATGGTTGATGAGGCTTGCCCGCTTCCTTCCGCTGGCTCTTGCTGCTCTTTTCTCTCTCTCTCTCTCTCTTTCTCTTTCTCTGGCTTTCTCTTCTCTGGCTCTTCTTCTCTCTTCTTCTCTGGCTCTTTCTCTTCCGCTGGCTCTTGCTGCTCTTTCTCTCTCTCTTTCTCTCTCTCTTTCTCTGGCTCTTTCTCTGGCTCTTGCTGTTGTTTTCTCTTTCTCTTTCTCTCTTTCTCTTTCTTCGCTCCTCTCTCGCTTTCTGCTTCTCCTCTCTCGTCTCCTCTCTCTCTCTCTCTCTCTCTCTCTCGCTTTTACTGCTCTTTTCTCTCTTTCTCTCTTTCTCTGGGTATTACTGCTTTTTTCTCTCTCTTTCTCCTTCTCTCTTTCTTTGCTTCTCGCTCTTGCTGCTCTTTTCTCTCTCTGTCTCTTTTTCTTTCTCTTTCTCGCTCTCGCTCTCTCTCGCTTTTACTGCTCTTTTTCTTTCTCTTTCTCTCTCTCTCTCTCGCTTTTACTGCTCTTCTCTCTCACTCACTCTCTCTCTTTTTCTCTCTTTACTTTTTTATTTTCTTTATTGTTATTTCTCTCCCTCTTTTTACTAACATTGCATCAAATTTCTCTTTCTATTCGTTTTTTCACATTCTATATTTTCTATCTTTCTGTATGTATGAACACACACATGCACACACACATAAGCACACACAGAGATACAACACACACAAGACTCACGAACACACAAACAAAACACACACACAAACAAATACACACAAAACACACAGAACAAGCCACACAAAGACAGACAAACACAACACAAATCCACACGAACAGACAAACACGCAAAGAGACACACACAAATCCACACGAAAAGACAAGCACACAGGAACAAACACACACACAAAACTAAACACGCACACACCTAACCTCACAGACCACACACACACCACACACACACACACACACACACACACACAACACACACACACACACACACACACACACACACACACACACATGACTGCATACACGAAAAAAAAAACACATAAAGATGCACACATCCCTTTATGCGAATATATCTACATTCTTATCTCTGTCTCTATCTCTCTCTATCGCTACACATACTTTTGCTCGGTCTGTATCCATTGCAAGGGAGACTTTTATGGTTTCTTTAGTTAACTTACCCTGAAACATCAAGAAAGTTTATAAAGAATTCCATCACACTTACATTGGGACCCCCCCCCCCCCCCGCCTTCCCTCTCGCCACCCCCTCTCTCTCCATCCCTCTTTTCTATCCTTCTTTCTTCTCTTGTTTCTCTCTCTCTCTGTCTGTCTCTCGCTGTCTCTCTCTCTCTCTCTCTCTCTCTCTCTCTCTCTCTCTCTCTCTCTCTCTCTCTCTCTCTCTCTCTCTCTCTCTCTCTCTCTCTTTCTCTGTTTCTTTCTCCCTCTCCCCTCTCTCTCTCTCTCTCTCTCTCTCTCTCTCTCTCTCTCTCTCTCTCTCTCTCTCTCTCTCTCTCTCTCTCTCTCTCTCTCTCTCTCTCTCTCTCTGTCTCTGTCTCCCTCTCTCTAATATCGATAATGATAATAATAATATTAATGATAATAATAATAATAACAATAGCAATAATGACAATAACAATAGCAACAACAACAAACAACAATGATAATAATGATAATGATAATAGCAATAATGATATCATTATTACCTTATTTGTTTATTTGTGAATCTCATTATCAATTAATTAACTAATTACAACAAGTCGATAACATTTCCTCCTCACATCTAATCTCTCTTAAGTCCATCATTTATCTATCTACATGTTTATATATCTATTTCTGTACACACTTCACTTCCCTTTATTCAATTTCCTTCTTATATCTTTCTCTATTTTTTATCTATCTACATTCTTATATATTTATATCTGTACACACTTCCTCCCTTTATTCAATTTCCTTCTTATATCTCTTTTAAGTGTATTTTTTTATCTATCTACATTCTTATATGTTTATATCTACGCACACTTCCTCCCTTTATCCAATTTCTCCATCCTCCAACATTTATACGATTTTTCTTAATGTTTATATATCAATATCTATACACAATCCCTCCCTTTATTCAATTTCTTCCATCTACAACATTTATACGATTACATATTATACGATTTTCTTAATGTTTTATATATTAATATCTATACACACTCCCTCCCTTTATCAATTTTCTTCTATCTCAAACATTTATACGATTTTTCTTAATGTTTATATATTAATATCTATACACACTCCCTCCCTTTATTCAATTTCTTCCATCTCCAACATTTATACGATTTTTCTTATGTTTTATAATTAATATCTATACACACTCCCTCCCTTTATTCAATTTCTTCCATCTCCAACATTTATACGATTTTTCTTAATGTTTATATTATTAAATCTATACCACTCCCTCCCTTTATCAATTTCTTCCATCTCCAACATTTATACGAATTTTTCTTAATTTATATATTAATATCTATAACACTCCTCCCTTATCCAATTTCTTCCATCTCCAACATTTTATACGATTTTTCTTAATGTGTTATATATAATATCTATACACACTCCCTCCCTTTATCCAATTTTCTTCCATTTCCCAACATTTATACGATTTTTCATTAATGTTTATATATTAATATCTATACACGCTTCCTCCCTTTATCCAATTTCTTCCATCTCCAACATTTATACGATTTTTCTTAATGTTTATATATTAATATCTATACACACTCCCTCCCTTTATTCAATTTCTTCCATCTCCAACATTTATATATTTTATCTCAGTCTCCGCATCGCAAAAGAATGGTATAGAAAACGGGATTCGCCCACGTTGTTTACGTATGCATGAACGGAACAAGATAAGGCCGGCCAGTCACGTATGGTCGAAATTTGATAAGATTTATGGCAGAGAAACGACCTTGTACGCGAAGTTGTTGGCTATGAGTAAGGTTGGGAGGTAAAGTGATTGAGGGAGAGAAAAAGACGGAGAGGGAGGGAGGAATTTTGATAAATGGGCGGAGAATGGAGGAGGGAGAGAGTGATATATTGGGAAGGAGGAGGAAGAGGGAAGATGGGTAGGGAGAGAGGAAGAGATAAGCGAAGAGACGGATAGAGAGACAGAGAGAGAGAGGAGAGAGAGAGACAGACAGATAGAGAGATAGAGAGAGAGAGAGAAATGGAGGAGAGAGAAAGAGAAAAGGACGAGAGAGAAAAAGAAAGAAAACGAAAGAGAGAGAGAGAGAGAGGCGGAAAAGCAAAACAAACTAAATGAAAGAAAAAATCAAACAGAAAAAAAGAAAAAAAAACAAACCAAAACAAAAAACAAAATGCAAGAATCAAAGAAAGAAAAAAAAACAAAAAAAGGAAAAAAAGAGATTAAAAACAAAAAACAAAAACAAAACGCAAGAATAAAAAAACGTTAAAAAAATCCAAAACCAAAAAAAAAGAAAAAAGGAGAGAGAAAAAAATAAATAAAATAAAAAAGCAAGAGAGAGAGAGAGAGAGAGAGAGAATGAGAGAGAAGAGAGAGAGAGAGAGAGAGAGAGAGAGAGAGAGAGAGAGAGAGAGAGAGAGAGAGAGAGAGAGAGAGAGAGAGAGAGAGAGAGAGAGATTAAAGACCAAAGAAATAAAAGAAATACGAAAAGTCAGCTGTGCCGGAAGGTAGCCACTTCCGGTGAAAGGAAGTTGGCAGTTTTCCGTTAAGAAAATAAAGGCGGGAAAAGTCGACTCGAGAACAGACGCATTCTGGTCTGTCTGTCTTGGTGTTAGCTTTCTTTCGCAGTGGTACTGTTCTGTCTGTCTGTGTCTGTCTCCTCTCATACCTGGTCTAGTGACTGTTTGTTCGTCTCTCTCATCATCTCATCTTAAGACTCATATCAGTCTGAGTGCTGTCTGTTCTCATTCTCGTCATGACTATCTCTCTCGGAAAGAAAAGCAAAGGAGAGAGAGGAAGAGAGGGGAGAGGGGAGGTGGGGGACGATGCGCGGGAGTGTGAGAGAGAAGAGAGAAAGAGAGAGAGGAGAGAAGAAAAAAAAAAAGAGAGAGAAGGGAAGAGAAAGAAGAAGAAGGTGGAGTGAACAGACCAGAGACAGGAAGGCAGAGGACGAGGAGTGAAAGAGCGAGGAGGACCACACAACGAAACGACGGGGGGTCGAGAGATTTACCCTTCTGAGATTAAAATCCCACCGACAGTTCTGGTTTCCCTTCAAAGCGTCGAGCTTAGCAGTATTAAATACGCTACGCTTAATGATGATTTGAATGTTAAAAGGTGTTGTTATCCAACTATTTTGAATTTATCTTATTTTTTGTGGCTGTGTAGTTGTGTACTGTTCGTAGCCTAAGAACACGAGTACACCGTCGTTTCTAGAGAAATACTGTCTTGTATCTAATCTGTATTCTTTGAATTTAGCTTGATTATTTTCTCTTTCTTCTTTTGTTGTCTGTTCCTCTCTTCGCTCTCTCTTCTCCCTCCTCTTTCTTTTCTTTCTCTCTCTCTCTCCTCTCCTCTCTCTCTCTTCTCTCTCCTCCCTCTTTTTCCTCTCCTCCTCTCTTATCACTTCCTCTCTACTCTCCCTCTCCCTTCTCTCTTTAATTCCTCTTCCTTATCTTCCTCTCTGTCTGTCGTCTGTTCCTCGTCTGTCTTCTACTGTTCTGTTCTGTCTCCGTCTCTACTGTCTGTCTTGTTTGTCCTCTCTCTCCTCTCGCCCTCTATCCTATCTATCTGTCTGTTTGTCTGTCTCTCTCTCTTCCTCTGTCTTGTGCTCTGCCTCTGTCCTGGTCTGTCTTGTCTCTCTCTATCTGGTCTCTGTCTGGTGCTGTCTCTCTCTCTTCTCTTCTTATCTATCTATCTATCTGTCTCTGTCTCTTCGTCTCTCCTCTTCTGTCTGTCTGTCTGTCTGTCTGTCTGTCTGTCTCTTTCTTTTCTCTCTCTCTTTCTCTGTCTTTCTGTTCTTCTGTCCTGTCCTTTCCTCCTCTCTCATACTCTCTCCTTTGTCTCTCCATATTTACTTCTCTCTCTTTTTCTCCTCTCTTCTTCTCTTTTCTCTCTCTCTCTCTCTCTCTCTCTCCTCTCTCTCTCTCTCTCTCTCTCTCTCTCCTCTCTCGTCTCTTCTCTCCTCTCTCTCTCTCTCTCTCTCTCTCTCTCTCTCATCTCTCTCTCTAATAATCATATATATAATTTTATATAATATAATATATTATATAATATATATATATATATATATATATATATGTCTGTCTGATCTGTTTATGCATATTCATATAATAGATAATTAGAACGTAAGGGATAGATGGATAAATAGATACTCATGTTTATCTGTCCATTTGGATGTATATTTGTATTAAGTATATATATATATATATTATATTATATATATTATATATATATATATATATATATATATATATATATATATATATATATATATATATATATATACATATATACATATATATATATATATATAATATTTAGATAGATAGATAGATTGATAGACAGATAGGTAGGTAGAAGGTAGGTAGATAGATATATATATATATACTATATATATAATATATATATATATATATATATATATAATATATATATAATATATATATATAGATATACTATAATATAAGTAGAATGTATATGGAGGCGTGTGTGTAAGGGGATAGGCAGATATATGGATAATAGATTGAATAAGTGATTAATTGATTAAAATAGATAAATAGATAAACAAATATGAGACAGCATGCATACATGCATACTTGCATTCATAATATAGATACATAGATAAATACATTCCTTCACGTACACACTGTTTCTAAAGTTGTTTTTTTCTTTCTTTTCTTTCTTTTTTTATATAGTGTGTAAGGAATATAATTAGAATATACTTTGTAGATTGGAGAAAACGCAAGAAATGTCGGGTGTTTTTCTCTGTATGAAATTAGTGTGCCTGTGTGTGTGCTGTGTGTGTGTGTCTGGTGTGTGTGTGTGTGTGTGTGTGTGTGTGTGTGTGTGTGTGTGGTGTGTGTGTGTGTGTGTGTGTGTGTGTGTGTGTGTGTGTGTGTTGTGCTGTGGTGTGTGTGTGCGTGTGTGTGTGTGTGTGTGGTGTGTGTGTGTGTGTGTGTGTGTGTGTGCGTGTGTGCTTGTGTGTGAGAGAGAGGGAGAG